AAAATAGTACTGGCATAAAAATAAACACTCGGACCACTGGAGCAGAATAGAAAACCCGGAAATCACTCCTCAGGCTTACAGTCATCTGATATTTGACAAAGGCAACAAAAACCTACATTGGAGAAAAGACTGCCTCTTCAATAAATGGTCCTAGGAAAACTGGGTATTCACATGCAGAAGATTGAAACTAGACATGCACTTCTCACTATATACCAAAATCAACTCAAAATGGATTAAAAACTTAGGTATAAGACCTGAAACTGGAAAACTACTAAGGGAAAATATAGGGGAAACACTTCAGGAACTATGTTTGCACAGGCTTTATGAACAAGAGCCCAAAAGTACAAACAACAGAAGAAAAAATTTTAAAATGGGACTATATCTAACTAAAATGCTTCTGCACAGCAAAGGAAATAATTAACAGAGTGAAGCATCAACCTACAAAGTGGAAGAAAATATTTGCAAACTATACATCCAACCAGGAATTAATATCCAGAATATACAAGGAACTCATGCAATCACACAGTTAAAAAACAAATAACCCAATTAAAAAATGGGCAAAGGAACTGAATAGACATTTTTCAAAGGAAGACATACAAATGGCTAACAGGTACATGAAAAAATGCTCAACATTACTAATCATGAGGGAAATGCAAATTAAAACCACATTTAGATATCACCTCACCCCAGTTAGACTGGCTATAATTAAAAAGATGGTGAATAACAAATGTTGGTGAGGGTGTGGAGAGAAGGGAACACTCCTGCACTGTTGGTGGGACTGTAAATTAGTACAACCACTATGGAAAAGAGTTTGGAGGTTTCTCAGACAACTACAGATTGATCTTCCATTTAATCCAGCAATCCCACTTCTGGGTATATGCCCAAAGGAATGGAAATCATTATGTCGAAAAGATAACTGCACTCCCATGTTTATCACAGCTGTTTACAATAGCCAAGATATGAAACCAACCTAAATGTCTATTGACAGATGACTGGATAAGGAAAATGTGGTATATAAACACCATGGAATACTACCCTGCCATACAAAAAGAATGAAATCCTGCAATTCACAACAACGTGGGTGAGCTTGGAGAAACTTTTGTTGAGTGAAATAAGCAAAACACAGAGGGAAAAATACCACACGTCTTCATTCATTAGTGGGAGCTAAGAGAGAAAGGAAGGAAAGAAAGAAAGACCACAATGGTGCATTGGACTTGCAGACAGAGAGAGCATACCTAGGAGGGAAAGGGGGAGGGGGATGGAGGTCAGGGATTAATATAAGATAGACTAATGAATGAACATGGGATTTAAAATCAAAAGACTATAATGACACAGAGCTGTGTGAACTCAGGCAAGTCACTTAAGCTCTCTAAGTTTCCACTACCCCATTTATACGGTAGGGATAATATACCAGCTGTTTCTAGCCCACAGGGGAATTGGGGTGAGAGAACTAGGGGTATAATTGCAATTTGTGGTAATGGGCATGCTGCCAGTATTGATCTGGCCATCACATCTTGGGCACAGGTGGTGACAGTCAGTTTTGTACTCCATGAATATTCATAACCAATAAAAAAATTAAAAATTTAAAAAAGAGCTTTAGCCATTCTAAAAAACAAGAAAAAAGTCAGGCACCAAAAATCTCTTTGGATGTTCTGTGGGCATGCTTGATGCTAATGAATAGGTTGGCTTCGCTGTAGGGTGATCAAGTGAGAAGTTGCTTATCTTCTGTGTCAGTGTTTGGAGGTCTTCTCTGGGGTGGGTCAGTTTCTCCAGAGCAGTATCCTCTAATCGCTTATTTATTCTGGGAATAAAGCAAGGTGCTAAGTGGCCCACTGTTCACTATGCAGATTTCCTTGTTATTTCTGTTTTCATCCCAAACCTCTCCACTGCTTTCACCAATAAGTCTGTCATCCCCAGAATCTGGAGCCTCTTGTTCAATTGTCCAAGACCGTAAGTCCTTGCTTTTGATCTTGGCTGGCGGTTTGAGGCGGAGGGGAGGGAAATGGAAAGGGGAGTGTGCACAATCACTTGGCTGGTTGGAATGGGGGACGTTAACTGAGGGCCACAGTGTCACACACAGACTTTATCCCCAGACCTCTGCATACTTTTCCAAGACTGGTCCCTGTGCTCCACAGTACCCGAGAATTCTGAGTCACCAGCATTCCTTTAGAGAGCTTCCTTTGCTGTGCAATGTCATTCACCTCCTACATCCACTTTCCTTCTTCATATTTTGTTGAGATTTCTCATCTGCCACTGTCTCATTGTTTCTTAATTTTGCCCTTTTTGGAATACACAAATATGGACAGTAGGTACTTAAGGAATAATAGCTCCTTCATCGAAACTCAGGCTACCCCACCACAAAGTCTGCTCTCTGGCCTACCTTAGGACACAGGGGGACCCCCACAACAGCCTGCGCCTCTTCACCCTTTTCTTATAGGCCTGTAGTCTTGGGAGTGTAGTGACTCCCAAATTAGCACACACCAGAATCCCCTGGAGGGCATTTTAAAATAGAATGCCAGGCCCACCTTCAGAATTTCTGTTTCAGCTGGTCTTGGTGGAGCTTGAAAATCTGTATTCCTAACAAGTTCCCAGTATGTGTTATTCATAGAGGGCTGGCCTGGCTGATGCCTCTGACTCAGGGCTCTCAGGACTACAGTCCAGGTGCCAGCAGGGGCTGCGGTCATCTCGGGGCTTGACTGGGGGATGTCCTGCTTCTGAGCTCACTGCTGTGAATCACTGTTGGCCAGAGACATCAGTTCCTTGCCACTGAGCCACTCCATAGGATGGCTCACCATATGTTGGCTGGCTTTCTCCAGAGTGAGGGGTCTATAAGAGGCTACCCAGAATGGAAGCCACGGCCTTTTAAAAAACTAATCTTGGACGTGACATCACATCACTTCTGCCATATTCTATTCATTAGAATCAAGTCACTGAATCCAGCCCACCCTCAAAGACAGGGGCTCAGACAGAAGCCTGCATACCAGGAGGTGGGATTGTTGGGGGCATCTTAGAGGTGGCCCACCACACCAGGTGGCTGCTGGTCTGGGGGCCGCACTTTGAAAATGATGGTTCCACTTAATGGCCTCAAAACAAAGACCATTTTCCTAGGATGATCAAAGCTCTTTGGTGAATACATGGATATATGACCCTAGTAGCATCTCAGGGCAGGGAAAGGGGAGGAGAAGAGTTAACTCTCTTCCATTAAGCTTATGGAAAAAATGAAGGCAGGGTTTTGCACCTAGGACACCCACGTTTCCAGCCAGCATTCTCTCTAAAGGCCCATAACCAGGCCACGAAAGTGTTAAGGTTCTAAGTGCTGATAAAAGAGAAGGTGAGGATGAAACCATCACTAATGGTATAAGAGGTCACAGCCAACCAGCCAGGTGCAGGGTGGTTGAAGGATAGAGAACAGTGCATTGCGAGAGTCCAAGTAGGAAGTTTTCTTCTACTGTGAATAAAAGCGAACACACCTCTATGGTGGAAGCTGCATTGTTGTGGAAGCCCAGCATGAGGGTGGTTTGCCTTCCTTACAGGTGGCTTTATGTCACTTACTCTCTGAATGGCCTTAAGAGGACCCAGCTTCCATCTCTACTGTTCGTAAAATGCATAACAAGGAGCCTTGCATGAAGATGTGTTCAATTCACATCCATTCCCTTTGGGGTGACTTTGAGGGTTATGAAAGAGTCTGAGGTGTGGTCCTTGCCAAGTTATGGAGATGTGATTTCCACCTATGAAACCACAGGAACAGATACAAGATAGACTAAAAAATGAACATGGGATTTAGAATCAGAAGACTATAATGACACAGAGCTGTGTGAACTCAGGCAAGTCACTCAAGCTCTCTGAGTTTCTATTACCCCATTTGTAGAGTAGGGATAATATACCAGCTGTTTCTAGCCCACAGGGGAGTTGGGGTGAGAGAACTAGGTAAGAGCACTTTTTAAGCATAGAACCATATTTGGGAGCTAAATAAAAACACATTTGATCAGTGGTTCTCAATGTTGGCTGCACATCAGAGTCACCTGGAGAACTTGGAGGAAGTCTCAATTTCCAGGCTGTACCCCAAAACCATTATGCAACAATTATCCATCCATCCATCTCTTCCTCCTCTTCCTCTCTCTCTCTGTATACACACATATATACACATACTACACACACACACACACACACACGAGGGTATATCAAAAAGTTCAAGGAAAGATTCATATTATCTTTCAATTCTTTTTTTCCACGAACTGTTTGATGTACCCTCATATGTACATGTACACATTTTTAAGGGAGACTCTTGAAATAGTTAAAATAAATTCCACCTAGTTTCTGCCATTAATGCTGGGGTGGAATTCCATAGAGGCTGTTGCTGTGGAGGACATGTCCGCTGGGGTGTGGGTGGGGGCCATTAGACAGACACAACACATGAGAAGGAAAAGGTTTCTGCTCTCAGTGGATGCTGGTGATGTCAACACAAAGCCCAACTCTTCTGCTAGTATGGACAAATTTTATTTTGAAATTGTTAGGATGCCTGAATGCAGAACTGCAAACTGAGACAGTGTCGACAGTGGGCGAGGTAGAGCTATGCACATGTTTCAGTTAACATCTGTGTCAAGCAAGACTGAGTATTAAGTGCCTGAAGCGTGCTTCTGCTAAAATTGTGTTCTCAAGGGATACTATTTACACATGAGTTTTTATCACAATTATTGACCTTTAAAAAGTATGTCTAATGAGCTTGCCAATTTCAGTAATTACTTCTAAGACCTAATTCTTTGATCAAAGTAGAAGACTGGATCTTTTGAAATAGTCTTGAAAGTAGATATTTTAATAGAAACAAGATTTATTTTGTTCCTAATCTTCACATTTTCCAAAATTATGTGAATATTTCATTGAAATCTGTACTTTGAGAATTAACCAAAATGCAGGGTGATAACCAAAAAAAAGGAAGGAGGAAGGACACTTTGATATATCTTCTCTCTGACCTCTGCTGTGTTCTCCTCTCTGCTCTCCAGAACCACATGTCCTGGGAAGAACAACCAGGCGCAAAGCCCCTTTGCTCCTGCGGTCAGAAAGCTTTTCACACTGAGCCAGCTCAGAGGCCATTCTCCACCACTCAGATGGTAATGCGGACCCTTCCCTCTGCCTCTGCAGAGGATGTCCTCAGAGAGGCTCCTTCACAGACCAGGAGCATCCCTCAGCAACCACATATCAGCTTGGATGATCTGTGGCTGGAGAAGATGCAGAGAAAGAAGCTGGAGAAGCAGGCCCAGGCTGAAGGGAAGACGCGTACTGGGATAGTGCACAAAGATCAAGTCAAAGTAAGCCACTCACAAGCCAGGCATCCTCAGGCTGGGCTTGGTATCCCCTCTTTTTCTGCAGCTGCCTGCGATTTCCTGAGCTTTCCCCTGATTCTGTCCTGTGCTGTAAATTGTCACCCTGGGGCCTCTTGGATTACAGCACTCTGGGTCCCACTCAGTACTAACCTGAAGGAGAGATACTTCATAGCGGCCTGTTCCCCAGAGCCACAGAGGTTGGGGCTCCCTCTTCCTTCTCTGTAGTGTGTTTCTCCTGGTGGCCAGCACTATGCACGGCAGAAGAGCAAAGAGGAGGAAAGTGGGCTCTTTGCCCTCAAGGACTTCACCATAATAATTGCCATTTAGTGGGTGCCTGCTGTGTGCAAACATTGTATTAGACACTGCAGTAGCATTAGCTGTAATACAGGTACATAATGTTTTGTTATAACACTTAATTAAATTAATTAAATGCAATTACATTGTCAATTAAATTTTGTCTATAGGGACATTCTGACACCAAGATTTTTTGCATGAAACTGACAGCCTATTAAAAAATGACTTACAGACATTTCTAAAAGAAGACATTCAAATGGCCAAGAGGTACATGAAAAAATGCTCAACATCACTAATCATCAGGGAAATGCAAATCAAAACCACAAGGAGATATCATCTTACTCCAGTTAGAATGGCTATTATCAAAAAAACAAAAGAAAACAAGTGTTAGTGAGGATGTGGAGAAAAGGGAACATTCACACACTGTTGGTGGGATTGTAAATTAGTACAGCCACTGTGGAAACAGTATGGAGGCTCCTTAAAAAATTAAAAATGGAACTACCATATGATCCAACAATTCCATTACTGGGTATCTATCCAAAGGAAATGAAATCAGTATGTTGAAAAGATAACTGCACTCCCATGTTTACTGCAGCACTATTCCCAACAGTCAACATATAGAATCAACCTGAGTGTCCAACAACAGATGAATGGGTAAAGCAAATGTGGTATATATATATACAGTGGAATACTATTCAGTCACAAAAAAGAATGAAATCCTATCATTTGCAACAACATGGATGGATCTGAAGGATATCATGTTAAGTAAAATAAGCCAGACACAGAAAGACAAATACCACATGATCTCACTAATATGTGGAATCTAACAAAGAGAGAGCAAAAGTTGGTGTCAGAGAAGCAGAGGAGGGGAGGGAGCGTGAGGAGAAGTTTGCCAACCGGGCACAAAGTTACAATTAGGAGTAAGTTCTGGTGTTCTATTCCACAGTAGGGTGATGATAGTTAACAGTAAGATATCGTATATTACAAAATAGCTAGAAGAGAGGCTTTTGAATGTTCTCATCATATAGAAATGATAAATGCATGAAGTAATGGATATACTAAATACCCTGAACTGATCACTGTACAACATATATGTATTGAAACAACCAATTGTGCCCCATAAAAATGTACAATTACAATGTGTCAAAAAAAATTTAAATGCCTTAATAGTGTATACTATAATAGTGTATACTTTGACAGGAGTTTCTTCTTTCTTTTTACAAACAGTAGTATTTTTTTTATTATCAAGTAGTTGTGAAGTGTACATATCTGAGTCTTACCTCATTCCTGAATACCGACTTTTTTTTATTGAGGTTAAATTCACTTAACATAAAATTAACCACGTTCACATGAACAATTCAGGGGCATTTAGCGCATTCACAATATTTTGAAAGTATCACCTCTACCTAGTTCTGAGACATTTTCACCATCCCAAAAGGAAACCCCATTAAGCAGTCACTACTGATTTCCCCTTCCCCAGACCCAGGCAAGCACCAATCCGCTTTTCATAGATTTGCTTATTCTGGATATTTCATATAAATGAAATCATACAATTTGTGACCTTTTTTTTTTTTTTGTCTTTTTTTTCCCGTGTCCGGCAACGGATCGCAACCCTCAGTGTCGCCCCCGTACCGGACCGGGACTGGCAATGGGATCGCAACCCTCGGCGTTGCCCCTGCGCCTCGCTCAGCCAGTGAGCGGGAACCGGTCTGTATGTGGGATCCGAACCCTCGGCGGGAGCGCTGCCGCGCTTCCCAAGCGGCGCACTAGCGCAGTGCGCCACCGGGCCGGCCCCAATTTGTGACCTTTTATGACTGGCTTCTTTCATTTAGCATAATGTTTTTGAGGTTCATCCATGTTGTAGCATGTATCAATATTTTATTCCTTTTTGGTGCTGTATAATATTTCATTATATGGATATATTTGTTCCACTTTGTTTATCTATTCATCCATTGATAGACATTTGGGTTGTTTCCACATTTTGGCTATTATGAATAGTGCTGCCAGGACCAGTGTACAAATTTTTGTTCAAATACATGTTTTTAATTCTTTTGAGTATATACCTAAGAGTGGAATTTCTGGACCATATATTAATTATAGATTAACTTTTAGAGGAGCTGCCAAACTGTTTTCCAAAGTGGCCACATCATTTTACATTCCCACCAGCAACATATGAAGATTGTAAGTTCTCAACATACTCCTTGCCAGCACTTGTTTCTGTTTTGTTTTGTTGTTGTTTTAATTATACCATTGTAGTGAATATGAGTAATACCAAACTGTGATTTGATTTGCATTTCCCTAATGACTAATGTTAAGAATATTTCCATATGTTTGTTAGACTTTTGTACATCTTCTTTGGAGAAATGTCTATTCCAATCCTTTGCCCATTTTTTTTTTCCTTTTTTGTCTTTTTTACTGACCAGTAACGGGATCGCAACCCTCGGTGTTGCGCCCGCACTGCGCTCAGCCAGTGAGCGGGAACCGGTCTCCACATGGGATCCGAACCCTCGGCAGGAGTGCCGCCGCACTCCCAAGTGGCACACTCTCCAGTGCGCCACCGGGCTGGCCCTTTTGCCCATTTTTTTAAATTGCCTTGTTTGTCTTTTTGATGTTGTATTGTAGGAGTTCTGTATATATTCTGGATACCACATCTTTGTCAAATACGTGATTTGTAGATATCTTCTCCTATCTATAAGTTGTCTTTCAATTTCTTGATAGTATCCATTGATGCACATAAGTATTTAATTTTGATGAAATCCAGTTTATCTATTTTTCCTTTTGTTGCTTGTGCATTTCGTGTCATATCTAAAAATCCATTGCCAAATCCAAGTTATGAATTTTACCTCTGTTTTCTTCTAAAAGTTATATACCTTTTGCTCTTATGGCTTTGATCCATTCTGGTTTAACCTTTGTATGGTGTGAGGTAGAGATCCAATTTCCATCTTTTTTTTTTTTTTTTTGTCTTTTTCCGTGTCCGGCAACGGATTGCAACCCTCAGTGTCGCCCCCGTACCGGACCAGGACCGGCAACGGGATCGCAACCCTCGGTGTTGCCCCCGCGCCTCGCTCAGCCAGTGAGCGGGAACCGGTCTGTATGTGGGATCCGAACCCTCGGCGGGAGCGCTGCCGCGCTTCCCAAGCGGCGCACTAGCGCAGTGCACCACCGGGCCGGCCCCCAATTTCCATCTTTTGCATGTGGATATCTCGTTGTCCAAGCACCATTTGTTGAAGAGACTATTCTTTCCCTTATTGAATAGTCTTGACACCCTTATCAAAAATCAAATGACCCTAGATACATTTGTTTATTTCTAGATTCTCAATTCTATTTTATTAGTTTATATGTCTATCTTTATGTCAGTACAACACTGTTTTGATTTTTATATGTTTATAGTTTTGAAATTGTGATGTGTAAGTCCTCTTTGATCTTTTTCAAGATTTTTTTGCTATTTGCTATACCTTACAATTCCATATGAACCCTAGGATCCATTTCTGGGGTGGGGGGGAAGGCTGTTCCTTTAGTTCTTTGGTTTCACTTAGCTCTTTGAGCATATTTAAAACAGTCGATTATAGTCTTTGTCTAGTAAGACCAAGGTCTGTGCTTTCTCAGGGACAGTTTCTATTAATTTCTTTTCTTCCCGTGAATGGGCCATACTTTCTTTTTCTTTTCATCATACTTTCTTGTTGAAAATTGGACATTTTGAATACTGTAATGTGGACACCACAAGTTTGCACGTATATTGCTGAGTTGCATCCATGGCATGGGTGCACTACAGTGTGTTTCATCATTCACCTGTTGGAAGACATCTGGGTTGTTTACAGTTTTGGGCCATTATGAATAATATAAGTTTAATAGCATAACATAAGTTTTCATTTCTCTGGGGGTAAATGCCCAAGAGTACAATGGCTGTTCATGCGGTAGTTGTTTGTTTAGTTTTATAAGAATTTGCCACACTGTCTTTCAGAGGACTGGACCATTTTACATCCCACCAATAATGCTTAAGTGATTCAGTTTCTCAGCATCCTTGCCAGCATTTGGTTTTTTGCTATTTTTTTATTTTCATTATAGTAATAGTGATGCAGTAATCGCTCTCTGAAAGTTATTTTTTCCTAAGGGGTAATAATGTTGAAAATCTTCTCATGTGCTTATTTGTCATCTGTACATTTTCTTAGGTGATATATCTCCTTCATTCTTTTGCCTATTTTCTAAGTGGATTGGGCTTTATTTTCCCCCTTCAAACAATTGAGAGACAGGACATGTTTGATTTTTCTCAATTTTGAGCTTTGAGTGTGTGTGTGTTATATTTATATTTTAGATACTAGTCCTTTGATTTATATTCTAAATACTAGTTCTTTGTTGAATATGTGGTTTGTAAACTGATTTATCACCCAGTCTGTAGCTTATCTTTTCATCTTTTCACCAGGGTCTTCACAGAACAGAGTTTTAAAATACTGATGAAGTCCAATTAATCAATTTATTCCTTTTATGAATGTGCTTTTGGTGTCACCTAAAAACTCTTCAGTGACCCCTACATCTCAAAGGTTTTTTCCTTTGTTTTCTTCTAAAATTTTATTACTGTTTATTTTACATTTAAGTTTGAGATCATTTTCAGTTAATTTTCGAATGAGGTCTGAGATTTAAGTGAAAATTCATTTTTTTTTTTTTTTTGCCTGTGGATGCTCTAGTACTACTTT